GAATGGACTTTTCATAGACTATGTCTTTCTTTCAGTAATTATAGGAATGCTTAATAGCAGACAGACAAAGACTTTTATTAAAAGTAATGGGTTTGATTCCGTCTTACTGGTAAATAAAAGTCAAAATTTAACGTACATTTACTGGTTAGCCAACTTTCAGATGATCCGTACATAAATGTCTGTCTTTCCTCTTTTTTTTTTATCAGGAACAGGAATATATCTAATATGAAGGAGAACAATGGGGGATAAAAAGTAACTTTTAAAGTGAGTAAACGACTCGATTCCGTTCTACCGTAATAAAGTTTGCCGATAATTTAGTAATTTACCATATAAACATGAAAATCATTCATAAGTACATTTTTGCTAATGTTGAATGACTCACTATGACTTTGAGACTTATTACAGCAATAAAAACACTCAACCGTAATGATTTTATATTTCGAATTAATATTCAATATCCTTTCTATTTCATCATCAAAACAATCAATTTTAGGATATATATTGAGAAAAAAGTTTAGCATCAAATAATTTTAAAATCATATTCAAAAATTAAATATTTTTTTCTGAAAATAATAATAAACAAACTATCGTATCAAGGACAATCAACCAAAGACGCAATTCTTAATCAGCAAAAAAATGTATAAAAAAGTCATTTCCCCAACTTTGTAAATTGTCATTTAAAATTTTTTTTTTTAATCAAATATATGTTGCTTAATATTTTTTACTCGGTATATCATGAAATAAAAATATAAACAAGTCTAAATTGAAAACAACGTTCAAACTTATGATTGCGTTGGATAAAAACCGCAATGTTTATACGTGTGCATGCAAAACAAATTTCTTGGTAGAGGGGTCTAAATACAGCACAAACAACATTTTCCAAAAGACCAAAAAAGTGAAAAAGTATATTTTAACAAAACGCATTTGACTAGCAGGTCGAACAACTGATGTTCTTAAACCCTGCTGACTGCCATTGGCGATTGCCAAATAAACGGATCACCAGATGTAACAAAATGGATCTTATAATAATTTATTACCAAACAGAAAACAATAAACTTGCGGAAAAGATGGTATACCGCAAACATGAGGTGCAAAAATTTGTACACCATATCCGGATTTCGACAATTATTGTCTCTTCAGTGATGTTAGGAATCGAAACGGTATAAGGACGGCCATATAATTTACCTCAATTTAGGATAGACTCTTGAATTTTGAAAGAGTCGAAATAGGATGAACGGATCATATAAACCCGAAGGCAAATGAAATAAAAAAATATATATATACTATTCATTGCCACTGTTGCTTAAAAATCGTGGAAAATAAGTCGATGAATTGAATTAAAAAAAAGTATACCGAAAAATACGCATTTCAAAGTACATTTTAGAAGTTTTATACGGCATGTCCGATGACTGTAAGTAATAGCATATGATTTATATGAATAATTCAATGTCAAGATAACTAAATTTAAAAATATACATAAAAATGACAATTCATCAATATGATTTACCATCTAAAATAAAAGAACTGCTTATTGATACTTGTAGACATATTTACTTCATAAAATTGAAATTTCCAAGATAAGAGTATTTCGTAAGAGTAAATTATCAGCATAAAGGTAATATCCGAATAAGTGTATGACATACGTTGTCATCAAGTGTCAACTATAAAATTAATACTGAGGTTGAATCTTTGGGCCATTTTAACTCTTCGCGAACCAACTCCGTTCAAAAAGCCTATTTCGCACTTGCAATGACTTGGTTAAATCTTAAACAAACTATAACAGTCCTTGTCATCTGTGCTTTTCTACTGGAAGCCAAATAATAAATTGGGAAAGGACTACCTGTTTCAGAATGACTTAAATAAACAGTTTTCGTGACATTTGAAGAAAGAATATTTCTGCAAAGTTTGGTATCAATTTGTACATAAGTGTATAAGAAGTTTGTTAAGCATGTAGATTAACATACCAAGTGAATGAAAATAATATAGTTCGTGTACGATATTGGTCCTGGTCGTCATGAAGAAGGCGGATTTTCCTTCTCCAATGACAATCTGTGATCCGTCAATGGTATCAACACTAATAAAAGCGACAGCAATACCTAGTTTTTCAAGCGTTCAGTTTCCTGAATTGTATACACAAAAAATCAGTTCAGGTATTTCTGAGGTTTCAGAAAATTAATAAATCTATATATCATTCTACATCTGAACATTATTTTTTTCTGCATGACAGGCCATTCAAGTTGTTTTATTACAATTGCATACACATAAGATATGTCAAAATCAAACTCTACAAAAAGAAAATTGTATTGAATTTAACTTCAATATGGACCTACATTCAAAACCTTTTTGGTCCTCTAAATCTTAAATCAAGGCTCAAGTTTAAGTATATAAACTCAACATAGATACGAGGCACGCATTTCGTCTATAAAAAACTCATCAGTGACGCTCGAATAAAAAAAGTTTTAAAAAGGCCGAATGAAGTACGAAGTTGTAGAGCATTGAGGGCATAAAAAGGTTTAATTATGGATTTGTATTACTTTTCAAATTTATCCAATCCGTTCGACCACTCATTAATTATTACAGAGACGAAGCGAAAGATACAAAAAGGTACATTCAAAATCATCAATCAAAAACAAACTGACAACGCCATGGCAAAAAAAAACCAAAAAAACAAAATACAAACAACAGTACGCAAAACACAACATAGACAACTAAAGACTGAACAACACGAACCCCACTAAAAATTGGGGGTGATCTCAGGTGCTGCGGAAGGGTAAGTAGGTCCTGATCCTCATGTGGCACCTGTCATGTTGCTCATGTAAGTACAAACCCTGTGATTCGGTATGTCACATTCGTGAAAAGTTGACGGGATTGTATTAACGAAAGTTGGAATATGACCGTCGACATATGTGATATTCCATAACGGTCAATCAACTCGTGATAAAATTTACGAAGAGATGATTTCAGATTCACCACTTAGAACTCTTGGTTTAATAGCTTCCTTGTAAGCAGTAACCCTCTTTCAAGGAAATAATATAGAATATACAAGCCCAGGAATATCGTATCAACTGGGAAATACATACTCCATATACAATCGCTACTGGAATGTTGCTACATAGAAGTGGAAAGTTCACAACTGTGAAGCTGAAATCATCTCTTTTTGTCGTAAAGTTTTGTTTTCAACCGACTCTGTCATTTTCTAGATGTAAGTCAAGATATGAGGCAGACTTAACTGTATCTGTTGTATCCTTTATCTTAAGCTCGAAGGACAAGATGTGTTCATTATAGTCACCAAATTTTGAACTGTTTAGTGAAAGGACATCATCTATATAGCTGAAAGTGAAATTAAAGGATAAGGCTAAATTCTTTTCTATCTTCCTAGAGCTCCGGTATGAAGGCAGCCTTATATGAATAAAGGAATAAGTTGGCAAGAAGAGGAGCACAGCTGGGTCCAATGGGAATGTCGTCCAAACTCTTTCAATTTGTCTTTTAGTTTGGAATGAGGAAGACTTGTGTAAAGTGCTGAAAGAAAAATGTTTTATACTATGATAAGATCAAAGAGTCTTCGACTGTATGTACTCTAACAGATCTGTGGAATCTTTTAGTATCCACATCTGATTCACACCACCTTTAAAATATATGTTGTTTAACAATAACTTTGAAGCCCGGCTTTGATAGCTGATGAACTTGATGTTAATTATTTAGAAAGAGGTTTCGTGGAGCGCTTTGAAGATTGATATCTGATAGACAAATCCTTATGAATGGTTTTATTTGATTTTCGATATATATTTATATTATTTTTCAAGTTTTCGAATTCAAGGCGCAAAATATGTGATCTTATACCTTTTTCATTTGAATTGTAAAGTATTACATGGACATTCCAAGCGAAATTATGATGAACTTCATGTTCATGTTCAGAAAATTGACATAAAGGCTTGATCCTTGATATTATTTAATAGTTTCCACATTACTTCTGTTATATCCATTCAGTTCGATCACTCATGTAATTCATGTCATTGACCTTCATTAGAGACAACAGTAGTATACCGTTATTCAATAGTCATAAATCGATTAAGCGAAAACAAATCCGGGTCACAAACCAAAACCGATGGAAACACATCAACTTTAAGAGGAAAACAACGGAACAACAGAAACACTGAACTGCAACAAAAATAAACGCCAACATACATAGAAACAGACTATTTGATAACAACTGCCATATTCCTGACTTGGTAAAGGACATTTTAAGAAAAATGGTGGGTTGAAACTGGTTTTTATGGCTAGCCAAACCTCCCGCTTATATGGCAATGTTAAAAATACCGCTAAAATGACAATATTACGTGACAGGAATACAGTACAAAGAAACGCAAGAACACTCAGGACAGAGAAATTCATAAATAAATATTATAATAGTACATTACAACATGCAAACCACAGATTAACAATGGATACTTCCCATGAATTTACGACAATACACCAGGACACCACAATAGAATTATAAACTGTGCGTCACACAAATCGACGCCACACAAAATGACGTATTTGTAATACAAGCACTATAAGCAATGCACTTTTGTGATCATATCTGAAAGCATCTGTTAAAAAGGTACATCTTCTTGTCGCTTTCAAGTTGTGGGCATTTCAACTTTTCTTTCTCTATCTTAATTGTTCTCGGTCTTTTTTTTTTTTTTACCTTTTTGGGATGATTTTATTCATCTGGTTGAGGTGTCACTTCATTTTCATATTGGCATGGTAATTACTTAGTAAGTAGATAATTCAAGTCAGACATAAATAATTCGTACTCCCTTTTCCCTTTTCTGTTGTCTCTGTAATATTTAATTATAGAAAAGGGGACATGCAATCATTTGAAATTATAGTAGACTGCAACAGGTAAATCATCGTATTTTTTGCTCGATTGTGACATTATCACCGACTTCTGTTTGCTTGAACAACACAACAAATGCCATTTTAGTTCACTACTTGCATATAATTTATTTTTACAGAGCCACGGCGCATGAACGATTTCCGGTTGTACTTTGCAAATAGCAGTGTATATACAACAACAGAACTGTGCCACAGAGATTGGCAACAACAGGCATACCTTAACCTGAATCAGAGTATATATTGTGACTTAAGCCCTACCAAGAATGTTTACTTTTTCAACAGAAATACGTTTATCGAATTATGTTACATAGAAATATTAGGTAAAGTATTAACAAAACATTTTTTTAGAATCAGACGGGCGATCTCCATTTGATCAATTTAAAAAAAACCATACAAGTTAAATTAACACGAATTGTTTATAAATAAATATACATTAACAGTCACAATATGACTTGTGCAGTAACATTAGTACCATTAATGTTATTTCATTTGTGCTAACCTAGTGTACATTGACAACCGGTAGGTGAGGTGCAATGCTTAATGTTCATCATATTCATAAAAGAAGATCGAGTGTATGCGTTAATGAAACGACGAAAATATTATTAGACATCTAGAGGGCAACAGACATGTACCGACTACAAAAGTAGACTGGAGGAGTCTTAAAAATACATCAAGCTATAAATGATCTCGAGTCTATAAGGCACCGTCCATTTATCTTTTGTGGGTGGATAATGTTTTCTCTCAAGAGACGAACAATGTTGTTCATCTTTAATTAAAAAAAAAATTATTGTTTTAAATATCATAAAAAAAACTTAAAAACAAAATTATGAAAAATTTCCCATAAATTGATAATTTTAAACGGAAACGACCCATATTTTTTACTTGCTTTTTCGAAACAATTTTTTCCAAGAAATTTAGAATCAAACAATTTATTTCGACAAAAAAAAACTTGCCCCCATCACACAATGGTATTGGTTGCAAAAATTTGATATTTTTCATTTGAATGCAATATTTTAAATTTAATTGGTATATTTCTTCATTTAAATGCAATACTTTTTTATTTGAACGGTATATTTTTTCATTTAAATGCAATATTTTTTACTCAAATGGTATAATTTGTCATTCAAATGCAATATTTTTTATTTGAATGGTATATTTTTTCATTTAAATGCAATATTTTTTCATTTAAATGCAATATTTTTTCATTTGAATGCAATATTTTTTTATTTGAATGGTTTATTTTTTCATTTAAATGCAATATTTTTTCATTTAAATGCAATATTTTTTTATTTGAATGGTATATTTTTTCATTTAAATACAATATGTTTTATTCAAATGGTATAATTTGTCATTCAAATGCAATATTTTTTATTTGAATGGTATATTTTTTCATTTAAATGCAATATTTTTTATTCAAATGGTATAATTTGTCATTCAAATGCAATATTTTTTATTCAATTGGTATAGTAGTTTTTTATTTATAATTATGCAATAATTGCATTATGGGAAATTCTTTGACGTCATAATGTCAAATTTGCAACAACGTTTGTGATTGGTCGGTAATTGTTTGGATTTCTCCCCTTTCTTTCTAAACATGAATGACCAAGAATTAAAAAACGCGTCAGAATATCGACCCCTAACTAAATCTGTCGTTCGTGCGAGTTCTGCACTGGCTGTTAAAATCTTCTGGTCCTAACTATTATTTCTATTGCAAAATTTCGATGGTCAAAACGTTCTGACCACAACTTTTCGAAAACTTTCATTATTTATGGAATAGATTAGACACCGTTGGTTTTCCCGTTTGAATGGTTTTACACTAGTCATTTTTTGGGGCCCTTTATATCTTGTTGTTCGGTGTGAGCAAAGACTACGTGTTGAAAACAGTACTTTGACCTATATAATGGTTTACATTTACAAATTATGACTTGGATGGAGATTTGTCTCATTGGCACTCATACAACATCTTCTTATATCTGTATACAACGTAAACCAGACGTTTCTTAGATTGTTTTCTTTTTTTAATAAATCCTTTGCCGCGCGTTGTGTACTGATTGATACTTCAGTCTGGGAGAACAAGATTTATTTCAGTACTAGTTGTAATTAGCTTTGAACAAACTTCCAGTAATTGCAAATACTCTTATGTCGGTGCTTTGTGTCTATTGTCTTAATGTTAGTCTTTTTTGTGTGTCTCGTACCGATCTTTTGAGTCAATCTAATTGCAACTGACAAGTGCAGGTTGTTCTTTTATTGGACTGTTACACCACTGTCCAAGCTTCGGGATGGGTTGAGTGCTCACTAACATGTTGTTGTACTGTTACACTACTGTCCCAGGTTAGGGGGAGGATTGGGATCCCGCTTACATGTTTAACCCCGCCACATTCTGTATGTATGTGCTTGTCCCAAGTCAGGAGCCTGTAATTCAGTGGTTGCCGTTTGTTGCCGTGTTATACATATTTGTGTTTCGTTCATTTTATTGTGCATTAATTCGGCCGTTAGTGTTCTCGTTTGAATTGTTTTACATTTGTGATTTCGGGGCCTTTTATAGCTGACTATGCGGTGTAGGCTTTGCTTATTGTCGAAGACTGTACGGTGACTTATACCTGTTGATTTCTGTGTAATTTGGAGATTTGTCTCATTTGCAATCATACCAAATCTTCGTTTTTATATTAACCCTGCCATCTTCTTTATGTGCCTGTCCCAGGTCAGGAGCCTGTAGTTTAGTGGTTGTCGTTGGTTCATGTCTCGACTAATATTTGATATTTTGTAAATTGTTTTGTTATGTAGTATTAGGCCGTTAGTTTTTCGTTTGAATTGTTCACACTTTTCATATCGGGCCTTTTATAGACGACTTTACAGTAATAGGTTTTTGTCATTGTTGAAGGCCGTACGATTGTCTATAATTGCTTACATCCACTTCATATTTGAAACCCGGTGGATAGTTACCTTATTAGCAATGATATCCCATCTCTTCGTTTTTATATTATATACATGACTTCTAAACTCGTGTTTTCCTGAACAAGCATGAAATATTTGTCACTGGGCGTTAAAAAGCAACAAACAATCAATCAATTTAAACTTGTGTTAAATAAGAGGAAAACCATTTGATATTTATTTATTTGTTGGGGTGGGGGACAGAAGGATTTAATATATGAATATGGTTGCCTGGTAAAAGAGCTGAAAATAGGCATGATTAGCGACAGATTAAAATGAATAATAATGCCCTCTCTTCCCTTCCCCATCCTTCATCTATAAATTAAACTGACCACCACGGAATAGCCCAATAGTGTTGAAAGTAGTGTTAAACACCAATCAATCAAAATCCCTTCCCTAGAATATCAAATAATCGTCCCTTAACTGTTATTGTTCGTGTAGTTCTCATATTTATCCAGCTTATCGTCCTATAGGGATATCCTACTAAGGCTGGCATACCATAAAAACGTTTATAACACATGTACAGCTCACATTCTAATATATCAGCATTCATAAATTTATTAACGTCATTTAGACTAAACGACGCCATGTTTGTTATGTGCCTCTAAACAACCTATCAAAAAAAAAAGAGGTGGAAGAGAGCCAGAACATCTTCCCAATGCAAATCAAAGTACTGAAGTACTGAACATCGGATGACTGCAAGTTCTTGTGGATGGTCAAAAGCACTTGTCACAGAAAAAGATCACATCTCTATACCTGAAACTGAGGTAAATGTAAAGAGATAAAAAATTTTCTGAGACAAGTTCGTGCGTGGATGATGAATAAATGACATGAAATTCAACCGCACAGTAATAACTATTATATTGTGGTGATACAAATCAGTATACACTGGTTTGTTGTTATATATTATATTAATATAACAGTTACATGTATATATAATTTTCATCCATTTGTATATCATTCTATTCAACTATTCTAATAATAGTGCAGTGCAAGTGCATGGTGGACACTCTTCTGTAAAAATTCGATTTTTCTAAAAGATTGGATATGAGTAGGCATTCATATTTTCCCGTAAAAACAATTACAGAGTTACCTGTCCTTGCCGGGATTGTCGCAAAAACGTTCTTGAGATATTCTTCCGCATGCTTTAACACAATTTTTAGGTACGTGTGCATAGATATTATTAATGATTTTTTACTTATATATAATATATATATATATATCTAACGACAAAACATTTTCATATTATTAATTTATGTTCTAAACAAAAATATTTTTATCAGTATTCATTGAAGAGATGTATTTATAACAAAGATAAGGAATGTTAGTTTGAACTAGTTAATTTCCGCGTATTTATCATGTTTAAAGATCGGTTACAAACCCAAAACGAAAGTTATGTGTGCAAATCTAGGCGATAGCAATACATCGGAATACCCTCACGGTCATCTCGATGTAAAAAACAGAAATTGACTTCTTCTGGCTCACTACCGAAGAACAAACAAACGCGCCCTATTAATATGTTTTAAAAACGCCTTGTCCCTACCCTTTTTTCCAAAAACATGGCATTGCTAAATATATATACATATATATAATCATCATTAAAATGCTATTGTATTTTTATAAGACCTACTTTATTACATGATCTGGGACTAATGACATTTATCTATAAGTCCAAGCATACAGTAAGTTATTATAATATGAATATGTTTCTTGTTTTAATAACCGCATATGATGCTCTGCATGAGTCACCATTTATCAGGACAGGAATTTGGTTTACATAGAGAGAATAATGTGCAAAAAATAGATAAGGGGCGGGACCAAACCTAAAGATAACTTAATAAAAAAAATGATGAAATATAAAGAATACGTTGATTGTTTTTGGTCACCTTATGTCCAGTGGCAAATATTTCACGCATGTTTAAGACAAATATAATAGAGATCAAAGAATAAAGAAAAGAGTGAAATGGTAAAAACTAAAAGATATAGAATTATAGAAACGATCTTTGATCTGAACCCCCCCCCCCCCCCCCCCCCCCCCTTCCCCTCACATACACACCATAACCATTACTGCCAATACTGGCATTTATACATCTCTATACAAATATCTAAATCTGAACCCCCTCCCCACCCACCACCCTCTAGACACAGAGGTTCTGGATCCGCCCCTGTTAAATGTACCTTATTACATACATTTTGTACGGGTCTAGATAATAGCTAAACGTACAATTCTATAATTTGTGGGATACAAAATTACAAATCATTAGAGATTTGTATCTAATTATATTATATACTGTGTCACAAAATAAACTTGTATACCCCCCCCCCTCTTTTTCCCAATGCAGCATTGAAAAGTAAATCATTTAAAAGTCCTGAAGAAAAAATATGTTTTGAAATATGCCCTGCATACTTATTTATGCAAAGACATATAGTAATTATTGAACTACTGTGGGGCTTGAAAATAAAATCTATTTAAGGGATTCGGAGATGGGAACAGTAAAAAATGCTGAGCAACGAATCCTAAATGTAAAATGATTTGCGGCATATGACATGAGAGCACATATTATAGATAGTCCAAAATATGAAGTTCACGCCTTATACAGTGTACGTCCTATGTCATAGGACTATTGTTGTAACATGGGTTAGTTACTGGCTCCAATTTATCCCGAATTGTCTTCATTAAAGAATTAGTTCCGGAGTATCACAACCCATGTCTCTTCTTGTGGATTTCTGGTTCTGCTGTCGTAATTAGGTGATTTTTTTTCTACAAGTAGCAAAAAAGAGGGGGCTTAGTCCAAATAATTATAACGTCCTGGAAGGCTTTTTATTCTTTTTTATGTTTGCCTACCTGCAACGTCTCTGAGGATCAAGAAAAGTAAAAAATGATATAGCATCAGAAAACGTCATGATTACATGTATCTGAACTTAGACGGGGAAAGAGGGGGGCATATGTTTCTATCCATGAACAGGTTGTGTGTCAAATTAATTATTATTACTTGTCAAATTAATTATTGTTACTAGTCACTCGCATTTTTTGCTCGACCTGGCCATTATTGGCATTAACAGCACGATCGCCAAATTAAGTTAGAGGGGCGATATTCCGACGCGTTTTTTTTTAATTCTTGGTCACTCATGTTTAGAACGAAAGTGGAGAAATCCAAACAATTACCGACCAATCACAAACGTTGTTGCAAATTTGACCTTGTGACGTCAAAAACTTACCCATAATGCAAATATTGCATATAAATAAAAAATCTACTATACCAATTGAATAAAAAATATTGCATTTGAATGACAAATTATACCATTTGAATAAAAAATATTGCATTTAAATGAAAAAAATATACCATTCAAATGAAAAATATTGCATTTGAATGACAAATTATACCATTTGAATAAAAAATATTGCATTTAAATGAAAAAATATACCATTCAAATAAAAAAATATTGCATTTAAATGAAGAAATATACCAATTAAATTAAAAATATTGCATATAAATGAAAAATATCAAATTTTTGCAACCAATACCATGCCATACACAACATATATATGGTCAATGCCTAAGGTTGTGCATATATTTACAGAAATAATCGAAGATCAACTACAAATTTTACAAAATAAAATTAAAAAACCAAACAAGAAGCACACCACTAACTTTGATATAAGACAAAGTCGGGGGTATATAGAAATCCTCATGTACGTCTGTCCGTCTGTTCGTCATTCGTTTGTTTTTTCAGATAATATCTAGAGAATCGTTTTTTTTTTTTCAAGTGACTCAAATTTAAATGAATATTTTGGACCACTAATTAAAAGACAGTTAGATTTCGATTTTCGCTGTTTTCATTTTTTCCGGCCTAGGGTTATGACACTTTATTGTTGGACAATTTCATATCTGTGGTTTTCATATGATAAATAAAGAACTTCTTATAGCAACTACATCAAATTATAATGGATGTTTTTTATCATTAAAGAAAACCGTGATCTCCCTGGTGCTGTGGGTACGGTATCTGTGATCAACTGATCACCTCTGTAGTTTAGTTGTTTTCATATATATATAGTTGACAGAAGACAAATAACAATCCTTTCAAAAAGCGAACATACAATGTCTTGACTTCTCCGTTTTAACAGAATAAATCTACCCTTATTCTATAAAATTACTCTAAATCGTCTTTATGATCTGTTCTTAAATACATGTATCCATGGTAGGTAGTATTCCGATGTTCAGTTCGTCCGATTCGCAAATTATAAAAAAAAAGATACATTTTAAGGAAAACAATGGAAACAACAAACACAGTGCCTTCCAGTATGTCGACAGGGTTCGTTTTTCCTCTTGTGGTACATATACATGTATGCATGCAATACCATTTAAACCAAATTTGCAACTAGCTGAAAGTTTCAAACCAAGAACTTTCCCAAAATGGTTATAATGCTTGACCTGTAAAATTGTTTGGTTAAATTTAAAAACCAGTTTCATTTCTAGAATAAACTTTTTTACTGATATGTTCTGACATTACCGAATACATTCATATTATACACTCAAAAATCAATATTTTTAAACGCTAACTTTGCAGGATGTTGGAAAGGTTCGTGGGGAACGAACTGCACAAATGCATGTCCACTTAAATGTATTGACCAGCGATGTCATCCTGTCAACGGCTCGTGTGCTTGGGGATGCGACCCACACAACTGTTTTAATAACACATGTGATATACATACAGGGGCTTGTACTGAAGGATGTGTAGATGGCTGGGTAGGAAAGTACTGTAACACGAGTAAGTTTTTATTTCAAAAGAACATACTTCTCTTCTTTCTTATATATTTGATATTTTACTGTTTTGGGGTAGCTTGAATTGGACTATCGTGTGATACATGTACATTTTATGAAGCAATTATTGATAAATGTTTTACTGAGTAAATAAATAACCAATACATGTGTTTGATAATATCAGCATGAATTGTTAATAATATTCATATTTTAAAGTTTACTTAACTGTGTATCGTAAATGACATATTGTATTAACTAGTCTTAAGATAAGTGTAAACTACCAAGTTGAACATAGATTTTGCTGCATGAAATTATCATTTTGTATTCTATTAATATGAGATTAATTTCTACAATGTATATATATATCAATGTCCGGCAACGTCATATGTTCAAATAAGCATGCATCTCTTTCAGTATATACTTAAACCATTTATTTTGCAAACTCAAATTGGATAGAATTTGTTTTGTAGTGTCAGTTAAAAACTTAGATTTGTACAAATTCGCCTTAACGCTTTAGTCACCTTGCTTTGATTTACGTGTTCACTATAACTAACACTATGTAGTATGATTACTTTATTGTACTTGTAGTTTATGTGTACACAATATGTTACATGCATATTCGTTATTTACATTGCATGGTGTGTTTTTCAAGTTATGGTTGCCTCATATGGTTTGTTTGTGTGTCTGCATTATATAGTCGACTTAATTAGTTAATTCTTATTTTGTTCAAATCACTCCATTTTAAATCAAAAGTTTTAAGTTCTAGTTTCGTACATGTACAATGATTGTAACAAGGAATTTATTTAAGTTGAATTTCATGCAGATGTATTTGTATGCCCGAAGAGCATCATAATTTACATTTTAGATTGTAGCCGCTGAATTCAAATACACCATATTTAAATCAAGTCTATGTAAAGATGCTCATTAAAAATGAATACAATATGTTTTATATATATAGCTGTATAGCCCAAACAAGTTCATGGTATTTGCCGAGTTCCATAAAGAGGAAATAGTGTGTAGCAACTTTTAGAATAATTTCATCAAAAATATTTCTTAATTTGAGAGTAATGGTTTCTTTCCATTGTTTATGCGTTTCTATTATTTAAATAATTAATTTATTTTTTTTTCTAAATTTTATGACATATCTCACCTGCCAATTGATCCTAGATTATCATGATTATAATGGGATAGCAACGAAAATATTCCTTATGACAACAATTATGAAAGTTGTTATAAAAATGGTAACGGAACATAATACATGGTATTAAATCAACAACGACAGATTACTAAATGTTGTCACTACAGTTTACATGTGTCTACCGTTTTGTGGTATGATATCAATTGTTAGTAAAAAAATAAAATACTTACTTAAAATGCTGCAATAATATGCCAAAAAGATGTAAACTATATAATACCAAAAACAAAAACATAATAAAAAAGCAAGAGATAGATTGTCGATTAAACCATTAATGAAAATAATTATAGTCCAGAAAAACAAATCACACAAAATATGTTATAGAGTAACACACACTTTACCAAAAACCGGGGTGAACACTTATATTGGTCATGACAAGTGCAAGTTTGACCGGTATAAAATTTTGTGATAAATCAAAAATAAACATATAATAATTAGATACCGATTTTAATGCGCATGACATTGTTTTCCTTAGTTATCGCAGAAAAGGCGGGATGGGTTAAGTCCACATCCGTATGACAAACGTAATATATTGATTGTTTTTGTGACAAAAAAGTTAAGTTCGGTTATTCAAATCAAAGCCGATCATACAACCTTCCTAAATTAAGTTATCTCTTTTGTCGTAAAGCTTTGTTCTCAACCGACAATCTGTGTCAATTACTAGATGCACTGAAAGGAGTAAAGCAGATCGGAGTCTGGTATCTTTTGTCAAATTAAATGGAATATATACAATCGACAAACTTAACAAACTTTGATTTTAGTGGTTATTAATAGAGGATCCTGCAATTACAAATAATCTGACTTCTTTTCTTTCTTCTCGAGAAACACTTAGCCTATGACACCAATTTCAAAGGGACAACGAGATAAATTCCTTTAAAAAAATCTCAACTGGTCTCAGCAGTTTAGCTTCGTATAAAAACAAACAATACATTTGGTTTTTTTTGTAAACGCACTGTTACAACATTTTCTACCTACAGCTAGTGCAAAGTGATGATATGCATGGGTTTGCATCTTTGCATGTAATAAGTTGAACATGTTACTTGTAGAAGCTTATTCCTTAAACGGTTAAATACCACCACATCATAGTACATGTAGTACGTCACATTCGGTTTCATACGAAAAAGGGTCGAACAAAAATATTCCCTTGAAATTGACAGTTGTAGGAAGTTAACCCTGTATTTCATTGCAGGCACAAAATCATAAATATATACTTTGGGTGTTTCAAAGCACAATTATTTCATTTAGTTGGTTTTTCTATAAAATATTTTGAAAACTTGAGGTTACAGGGTTACTTAAGCGTGTAAACAGGAAAAAGAGAGGTGAAAAATTGATTGGTTAACTTCAAGTGATGGTTATTATCTTATATGCAATGAAATGTTATGTAAAAATTTGGCTGTATTACTGGACATGATAAACTTTACTCATGACAAGTATTCCTTTATTTAAAACAAAGATAAATTCTGTATTGATCCTAAACAAAGAATGGATTATTCTTTATAACTGTTCATAATGCATTAAAGTGGGTAAAGACAAATAGTAATCCTTGGATCTTTAGCGATTGGCAGTAAAGACAACATATTTTGAAGTTGAAACTTCATTGCATTCAAGATCCGATCACACTGCTTGACTACCGTTGCTTATACTCTTACGATCATCTTTCGCCATAACAACTGCGTGACAGGTTCGTAAATGCACTGCCATGAAAGGTAATATTTCTCATTACAGATATACAGCACCAATAACTTTTGGGATGCAGTACACGGAACAAATACTGGTTATTACTCGCCTGAAAGCACTGAGTTGTAAACTGAATTAGTTACGTCTGTTTGTATTACTGATGATCAATTTTTGCAAATATCTTTAACACATTAACATTTATGTATGATATGTTGTAAATTCAAAAGTGAATTGACAACGCAAGATGTGTCTAATTGTTGTAAATAATTAATTGAAAAAAAAGAATATAGTTAACTATCGGTTCACTCCATTCTCCAAAAGTCACATTTTGTTTAATTTTATCAAAGTTTTGAATATTTCCAAATATGTTTCTCAAAGATACATAGGAGGGCGTACAAACATGTAGAATAACTTACTACTTCCTCCTTATCTCAACAGCTAACTAAAACTACACGTCCTATTGGTTTTTACAGCAATTTTAATTTTATGTAGGACAAAGACATGTCTCAACAACAGCTACACGACTTAAACCATTAAAACAATTAATGATTTCAAACAGCAGACTTCCTTATTGTTTGCAAGAGGTTCAATGAATGTAGGTTGAGACCAAAACTTTACGACAAAAGGGATAATTTCAGATTTCCAATTGTGATGTTTCCATTTCTAGTAGCATCATTCCAGCATCGCCTTCATATGGAGTACATATCTCTCAGTTAATAGAATATTCCACAGCTTGCAGGTACCGTTAGGATGTCCTTGGCAGAAGATTGCAGCTAACACGGAAGCCTTTGAATCAGGGGTACCAAGTGGTAAAGTTTAAGTCATCGCTTTAAAAGATTTACGGTCATCACGAGTTGTTTGACCGCAATGTATTATCTCTGCTACGGATGACAACGTATATGTTCCAAAGAATAATAACCCCACAATAACAAGTATCAAACAATAATAATAATCACAGCATTTGATCGGTAAATATTACAAATTGATGCAGTCTCAAACAGTTATATTATTTGTTTTCATTTGATGGATTACAAAAAGGTAAATAGCCTTTTGAGTATTATCTGCAAAAACTTCGATGTAAACAAAAAGTCTAACTCTATTTCCTTGCCATAACGGACCAACTTTAGATGACATTGAAAGAAAAATACTGGAATTGTTGATATTTACCAAAGTTATCAAATACTTAGTGAATATAAATAAAAACATGCGATATGATTGCTAATGAGACAACATTCAACCAGGGAAAAAAGATGATGCAGATGTTAGAAATTACAGGTTTCCGTACGATCTTTAAAAGTTAAAACCCTTATCACATATCAAGCTATAATAAAATGACCTGATATGTTAATATGTCAAACAATTCAAAGGAATAAACCAACAGTCCGATTTATCTAAAAAGCAAAAACAATGACGAAAACCGGAAAAAGAAAAACACAAATATGATAGACAGCAAATAAATAAGTGTGCAAATTTTATAAAGTTTCTGTTGTTATTCTCTCTGCTGTGATCTTTTACTTTATAAAGGTACTCTGCACTCGCCATATCTTTTACAATAAACACAGCTGAATATCTTGATAAATTACTGTTAGTTACTTAATTACCATAACAAAACTGGCAATTTCTTCACTAAACTCAGGAATGACAAAAGATGAATACAGAGTGCATGCACAATTCCCGTAAAATCTTAATTGGTATACTGTTATATTCAGTAAATATTTTTTCACAGTGTACTTATCGCTATATGAAAGTAAACTTTGTTTTGTACAATATGTGACTAATCATGATTTGTTTGGTGCATATGCATAATTGATATGAAATTTAGTTCCCCGTGAACGGATATACACGTTTATTTCACATGTTTCACACAACCTCTCAAATAATTGTTCTTTCAAACTAGGAAGCTATCAATTTTAAATTTGTGTTGTTTTCGAAGTAAGTGTCTTTACGAATATGATACAAGCTTATAAAGGCCTACGAATTATTTTCTATATTTACATCCTCCAATTTTCTACATGAATCCCTTCCTTCAGTAAACTATAGTCTATTGCATTTATTTATTTTTGTCCACTATATAAACAAAAACCAATTTATGTCTTTTACAATAAACACCTGACCTTGCTCATGTTCATGATGTTGTTCCCATAAAACATCTTATTCAGTGCTGATGTCAACTATTGAACGCTATCGTTATACAAACAGATTAAAGCATTTCACAGACATATCCAATTTAGTTAATGAATCAAACTGTATTAAAGTTTTCTCCCTTCTGGTTATAGAAGATGTATGGGATTAATTGGCATTGTTCGTCTCCCTGTCTGATTTAAACTGTGCCGGGCTTGTTTCTACTGTGTGTATCACGACTAAGTATTTGTAAGGTTAGGCAACGGTATAATTGATAGTGTATATAATATCATGCTGCGATCTGCAATACAGACTGTTTTAAAGTTAATACGCGTATGTTTGTACAACACACATTAGGCTTAATACTATATGTTTTGTGAAACGATCGATTTCCAAGTTGCCTTTTACTAATTTTGCGCAGATCTCATCAACATATTTGATCCAAAATTGTTACTGTCATCACAGTGAAAAAAAATAAAAAGTTTGAAGATCATTGTATATGCAGAGAGCGTTTGTATTACTTTTAAATTAACATTTTGTAATTATTATACATCAAAATGCAAATAGTAATAATATTTATAATAAAAAGAAAATATTACACCCACACATACAGAGAGAGAGAGAGAGAGAGAGAGAGAGAGAGAGAGAGAGAGAGAGAGAGAGATCGCACACATTAATGTGTATTTAGAGATGTAAGCGTAGTCGAAGCTGCTCTATAATAGAGCTGTAAAGAGTCATATTGATATTTCATTTTCCTCAATACTGAGAGAATTCAGTGTGCGCTTAGAGATTATTTCCTCGGGTAACTGTAACCAATGTATCAAATAGGTCTTTCGTCCATTTCACTACAAACCCTATAAATACATGAATTAAAAATCAAAAACTTTACAAAATGAACTATTTTTACCCTATGTATACTCTATTCCAACAGAGCAGAATGTTGACAACGTAATGTCGCCGCGATATAGCCTTTTTGTGCTAATGCGGCGTAAAGCAAACAACAACCAATCAATCAAAATAGTTAAATGGCGACTTTTAAAAATATTTTGTTTTACATTCATAACTGTTAAATACTATGATTAACAAATGGAATGCATGAATAACCTAAAAAAACGGGTATATATACAGACAGATTGTTTTGTACTTCCTGGTCAACAATGAGAACACTGTGATATTGTTTTAGATTGTAATGAAGGTACGTCCTTTTCTTTATCTATTTCATGTTACTAGAACAGCAACAAGGTATAGTTTTTAAAACTACTGATTAACCGTTTTTTTTTCTTAATAATTAAAGATGATGGGAGATTTAATCAGAAATTTACTAGTTTGTATTCGTGCATGTATTCCTAAAAAATAAAGTTATTATGTATGCATAATTGGAAATCAAAATAATGTTCTATTAACAATGCATGAAGTCGCTTCGCTAATTGATATTCAATATCAAACCGGGCATTGGCAGCCAGTACGATATTCAGATTTTCATAGTTTTGTCTAAAAATTTCATCATAGATACCCGGATTAAAATTTGGTGCTCATTTGTTTCGCTCGAATAAATAACGTTAGAGGCCAAATAAAGAACGAAGTAGAGGAGCATCTACGGTAATCTATTCCTTGGGCAGAAAATCCTTAGGATCAGTCAGTTGATTTTTGAAGATGCTATGAGTTTTTGAACATGTTGAACTTATGAATCTGGTGAGACTTTGTTTGCCCTGTGACAATATACAGGCGTAGGGTATGTGGGGCGTGCTCACATATGTTCTTTAATTCATGTCAACACAGAAGTATTGACTAATGAGCTAGTGATACCTCGCAGATGAAACCTCCACCAGTAGTGTCATTGACCCGGTGGTGATAAATAAGATTGTTTTCCTTAATTGATAAATATATTGAAAACAGTAAATAAAAAAACCCAGATGTGATAAGACTGTTTGTGATTCCTACACATTATTATAGTTTTTGACTTGAAATGGTAGTTCCATGTCCTTGGTTCGTTTCCCTTGCATTTTGATCCTCCGAACACGACAATTATGAAAAGTTACCGTGAAATATTTTTGACAGCATCCGTATCTACGTATAACCTAACTTTCAGTCAAAATTTATTGACATTGAAAGATTGAAAGATGTGGAAGGTATCACAATTATTTTACCCATCTCGGGTAGTCTTTTGAAATTCATTTTGAATACCAAGCTGGCACTTAGATCCATTTATATACATGTCAACGACAATATGATTTAATTCAACCTACCAGACTCGTTTCAATCGCCTTTCGTCGATGACTAATATCAAACCGACAATTTAGGTAACCATAAAATACCATGTTTTAAGATTTCCTGAGAACTCTTTTAATATGATACCTACATGTAGTTATGCATAGCTTAACTCTGAGCCTAATTGTTTGGTATGGAAGATCAGAAATGTCTAAATGTCATTTAAGCTGACCTTGGTAGTGTTTTACAATACATTTTGAAAGTAAAGCTGGCACTTAGAGACTGCCGTTAAAATAAAAAACAAAATGTTTACAAAAATCCCTGTTATTGATATCTGTGTCCATAACTTGCTTAATTGTAGGCTAAAGTTCAAGAAGATTGAAGGTCAGAGAGTTTTGTCCACCACTCTGGCAAAATGTCTTCCTTGATGTTCGTCAATTTTCAATCATCGTGAATTCGAAGTAACACTTTTGGTCCTCAATTATTAATGAACGTTTTTGTTCTTGCTTTATAAAATAAAAAAAAAAAAACATGTAATAGAAATCCCAATGAGACAACAATCACCAAAGACAAATTCTGGACATGACAAAATGACCTTTTAGCCGTTAAGTTACCCGGAACATTTACCAATTCCGTTTTACGGTCATTAGAGATAGCCGCCCACATCATGACACTTCCTCTACCGAAGCTGTCCACTGGAGGAAGCAAAACGTGCATTCATGCGCCGCTGGACACCTGTTTTTCCATCACGTTTCTGAAGCATAAAACGGGGCTCATCATTAAACCAGATTCTGCGCCAGTTTGCGAAATGTCCAACCCCTAAATCTGTTGCTCCATTGGACTCTATTCTGTCTATTCCGTCTGTGTAACGGCCTCCTGGATCTTATGCCATGTTGTCGCAGTCGATTGCGGACTGTTAGTGAGTTGATTCTTCTCAATCATGGTATCCCAACTGCAATGGCTGTTGTGGCAACGGTTCGATGCCGTAGATGAAATACCCGGATGTAGCAATCTTGTCCAGGAGTCGTAAGGCGGGATTGCCCACTCCTCGGGCGGTCCTTAGTACAGCCAGTCTGCTGGTATCTGTTCCAAAGTCGCCAAATTGTGCTATGGTTAACATTATCAGTTCTTGCTACTTCACTTTGGGACACGCCGGCCTGGAGACGGTCGATGACGATATTTCCAATAGCAGGGTCCATCCAATCTTGGCATGGCAGCGTTTTAACGTTGTGATGAATCAAATCTTCAAAATTGGTCCTATTTTGGCAAAAGTGTAACAGTTGAGTTAGCCACAAAATTCTTGTGAAAAACGTTAGCAAAATTTTGCGGCAAAAAAGGTCATATGCCCTTTCAGCGAGTCGCAAATTTCATGTGGCAGAGAGCCAAATCAAAAGAACGGGTTTTTAAAGTTTAAACTTACCTGTAAAAATTCGAAAATGCAATTGACCGTTTCATTTTACCTTGTAAAATATATATTTTGCATTTTGAAAAATTCATACGAGCTATGCGTTTCTTTTTTTGAACAGTATAGTTCATTATTATTTTTGATCACAAACAAAATATTATTGGACAAAGCTGATTTTGCGTTCTCACATGTAGTGGCCTATTAAAGCTTGCTATGCGATTTGGATTTTGTGGAGACCGTACGGTGACTTATAGCTTCTTACATTTACGTCATTTTGTATCTGGTGGATAGTTGTCTCAATCGTACAACATCATCTTTTCTAAGTGTCTAAGATTTGTACTACTGG